CTGGTGTGTTGACAAAACAAGGTGACTATGGTCTTACAAGAAAGAGAATAAATAAGGAGAAAAATGTAAGATTTAACCTCGAGAAATACCGTTTTTGAAAAGAAAAGTTATATTTGGCAATAATGATCACGACATGAAAATATTGACAGTTTGGGTGTTTAATAAAGTTATGATGTCTTATATTCTATACTCAAATATACAAATTCCTTTATTTATATTCAAGCGCCAATTTACCAGGTTATATTTTATAATAGTTATATCATAGTCGGAATGTTTGATATTTTTAAACCAGCAGTGGCGACACCAGTGATACAGGGGGCCCCTCTATAAAAGTGATTTGCACCCCAATTGTACCCCACTCTATTTTTAACAAATCTAAAAAACTGACTTTTATACGTTTTTGCCCCAAAATATGTAACACAATGCACCAAATCAATTAATTTTTTCTAAAATTTTCTTGGGACTAGTCCACCTCCGCAGAGTAACCAAATTTTGAAAACCCCCATTGAGTCAGTCTGTCCCCTATTTGTACCTCCAGTCTCGGGAGGCTGCTGCCACCACTGTACACCATCTCTAATAGCGTTATGGACAGAACAGTCATCAGTCATACTAGTGATATTCACTTTTCCCACTGAAAACCAAAATTATTTTCGGATCTTTTTTTTTAATTTTTCATTGATGCAAATTGCATCTACTGTTTTGACTTCACAAATATTTGTTACTGGCATTTACACATCTGTTAAACTACTATTGACGTCTCTAATTTCTCACAATTTTGACTGTGTATACTATCCGGATCTACCGTTAGTGCTTCATTTGCAAATCTGATATTCTACTTTTTTCCTTTGCAAATTTGCCCAATTAATATTTTATCTTTAATGATAGTATTGACATCACGTCTAGTTCTAATGAAACAACCGACAGAATATGTTACCTGTGTCAAACCATGCACGATTAACATCCTTCCGCCCTCTTAGTAAACTTCAAAATTCTTTTCTTTTTGAAAAAAAGGGTAGAAATATTGACCAAAGAATCTGTGTGTATACTCACGATTATTGTAATGGTTGTTTGAATAATTTCAATCGGACAATAGCTGGCGGCTTTTATTGTGCCTCAGGCTCCAAATACACATTTTATCATTTGTACGAGAAACACTATTTGTAATACTAGGCGTGAACTTTGGGTGACTTTCTAATACTTTCCTACTGTTTGAAATACTTAAAACGTGAATTTCAGTTTGATTGAATTGAAATTTTCAAGGCATAGAGTCCACTTTTCATGTTTTAAACTTCGTCAAATCTGGACATCGTTAAATATATTTCACAATTTTTGGATCTTCAAATTGGAATTAGCCACCCCATTTCCTGTCCTTCACACCACTATTTTAAACAGTTTAAAAATTCAAGCAATTCAAAAAAGTGGATTTAAGTATACATTATTTCAGTAGAAAACGCCTCTAATCGTATTTGTTAATACCATTGATGCTGTTGCAAATGTCCTAAAATTGTATCGCTGTAAAATTTAACATTAATAGTCTGAAACAAAATGATAATCAGACTACCTTAAAGGGATCGTATCATATTCCAAACTGCCAATCATCAGAAACACCATTGGTCATGGGATATGAGATATAGTCGAATCGAATCTTCAGGACTAATGGTGTATTTTATATATAGATGTAAAATAGATTAGTTTGATTGAATTAGATTTGACTCTGACTCCAGATTATTTTTTCGGTTTGTCTGCAAAATTTTGATTTTCTCTTTGCTTTATTCCTGTTGTCATTTTATTGTCATCTCTTTCAGAAAACTTAAGGAGGTATGAGGACGTCTTTCAAGACGGTGACACTAGCCCTTGTGCTGGTGCTCGCTGTGGCAGTGAATAGTGAAGATACTGGTGAAGGATGGATTCGATCTATCATAGATAGTTTTTACGGTACGGTTGGTGATGATACTCGTGAGACTCCGCAGCCCAAATCACTGGGAGCCCAACACGGTCACGTTGATACTTCTACGAATGGCGTGGCGTTGATTTCACATGGTTTCCCCATTGGTGAGTATACTATATACCAATTAGTATTGTTAGTGTGGGACTTAAAGGGACAGACTCATCATTCAATTGAGAAATCGTACCTAAGAAACGGGGATTTCTTAAGCTAAGCCAATCTTAGCACTGTCGAACTTTGAGCCTTAAAATCCACGTGTGTCCCGAATTATCCGCCGCGTTTGAAAGTACAAATGACAAAAAGAGAATGTAAAGTTATTAAATGTAGTAAATATCGCTCAGTTATTGTTTAGGCTCGAGCAATACAATAAAAAGGATGAAACTGAGACAATATAGATTTTAGAAGGCCATTTGTTTATTTCAAAATTCCAAGCCTCGATCACAGAAAGGGGCTTGGATAAACATGCCAATCCTCTGATTTCCTAACCTTCTAGTTTATACTTCTGAATAGCTCCCCGCTAAGGGGTCAGACTTGTGGAAAATATAACAATTCATATCAATATTTCAGTTACCATGTGTCCCATCAACGTCATCTTCATCCTAGACGGTTCAGACAGCGTATCACCACAAGGCTTCGATCTCGCAAGGATTTATCTTAAATCCGCAATTCGAAGAGTCACTACCATGTACACGGAGGCCGATATCGGAGTTATATTGTTCAGTAATGGTATATCAAGACAGATTCAACTGGTGGAACGATCTCGTTTACAGCTCGATGCCGTGTACGATCAAATCGACTCTTGGGTTCAACCCAGACAGGAAACAGACCTTCACCTGGCTCTTCAGACAGCTCAGACCACTTTAAGAAACTACCGTGCCAATGAAGGAAAGGTGGTTGTCCTCATCTCAGATGGTTGTCCCAATAATGTAACACAATCAACTAATGCAGCAAGAGAAGCGTGGGAGAATGGGGTCTATATTATGAGTATTGCTATAGAAAAAGCCCAGATTGATATGTTAAAGAAACTTTCGGTTAGAATTCAGGACATTCGAACTCCCATCGACTGGAAATATACCGTTGCTTGTCCACGTAAGTATTCTGTATTTTTTTTTGAAGAGTAATATGCCGTTTCGTGTTTTATCTTCAGGTTACTCTACTTGTCATTCGTGATCTGACGAGATTCTTCTTTAAATCGGGTTCTGAGAAATTCAAGTTGTCATAATTTTTTGTAATCAGTCAGAAACAGGATTAAAGGTGGTTAGATAATTCAAGTCACTATTTAACACTTTATCTGTTTTATTGAACCAGTCAGAGTATTTAATTGACACTCGCCTTGTATTATATAATCATCCGTGACTGTTTACTACAACGTTTCCTATTTTATTTGCATATTTTCTTGATTATTTGTAATTTTGTTTTGTAGCTTCCACATTGCCCGATCTACCATCTGGTCTAGACTGTGCTGATGTCGTCATCGTTATGGATGGTTCAGACTCGGCTGCTAAACACGGAAGTGTCATTAAACAATACCTTGCCAACCTAGCTAGACGATATTCAACTGTTCAGAATAAACTAGGTCTGGTGGTATATGGAACTGACGTGGACTTCTCTATATCACTAACATCCAATAAGCTGGCCATGTCTACCAGAATCTTATCTAATGAGCTTTCGTTCCCTTCATCTGGAACTGGTACTTCAAAAGGTAATCTTAGTAGTTTACTATCACTTTGTCTGAGCACAGCTGTGAGGAATTCTCGTACAAACAGAAGTTAGGATGTCAGATATCATTTCATGGTCCGGTCTCATCCAAACGTTATTCCAGTTAAGCTTACGAGTTGTAACGGTGTAAATAACCAGGGGCCCTATTCTTATAAACTTAATTTAATGTGTTCCAATCTTCCTTGAAACGCTTTTAAAAACCTCATTATTTCATTTTCCTTTCAGGAATCCAAAGAGCTTTACAGTTATTACAATCTTCGTCTGGACAGAAAGCTATAATCGTCATCACAGATGGGCCCCCAATGGATATAACTTCTGTATCTCAACAAATTCAACAAGCCATCCGTGACAATATACGAGTTGTAGTTGTAGGCGTCGGTAATCATGTTAGATATTCTAACCTGGTAAAACAAGCCGGAGATATCGAATCTAATGTTATCACAGTTCACTCTTTCCTTGATCTATATTCCGTCAACTATACAGATAAAGTTTGTGGAAACTCACGTAAGTTTTGCCAAGGTTTTAAACGGTTTGGTTTTAAGGGTTCGGTCTAAAAAAAAGTCCCCTACAAATTTGGAATATTAGGAGATGATATTTGTCGTTGCCCGTGTCCATAGATCCCCCATTCAACTTTTCTTGTGAGCTTAATACAGGCTAGAGTTTTTATTTTATTTGAATCATATTTTGAGCGAAAATTAAGATTTATGAAATTTTGGATGAGTTCGAATTTGATGATATTTCTCGTTAAAGGGATTTCGAGTCATTACCTTGATTTAGCTACAATTTATCAAAGGTTTTGGAAACGTCAGTCCACTGTTTATGTACCACCACTAAAGCTAACCCTGAAACGATATTAAGGATAGAAATCATATTGATAACTGGAACACAAATTTATGGCATACTATATTACTTATATCAGATCTTTGACACTTTTGTATTTTTATCCCCGACGTAGATATTAATTTTAATGTATGTTATTTATATATATATTTATTTGTCTATGTTTAAAGTAATGGTTTATTTTCTATTCTATGTTTAAAGTAATGGTTTATTTTCTATTCTATGTTTAAAGTAATGGTTTATTTTCTATTCTATGTTTAAAGTAATGGTTTATTTTCTATTCTATGTTTAAAGTAATGGTTTATTTTCTATTCTATGTTTATGTTGTTAAATTGATGTCTTTGGCTGTACAAGAATAAAGTTCTGTTCTGTACTTTGGGTTTTATTGTGCACAAAGTTGTCATAATCTTGTTATAATCTTGTTTAACTTTCAGCTGTCTCCTGTTCTATACGATGTGTAAATGGTATCACATTAGGAACTGGAAGCAACTGTAATTGCCAATGTAGTCGCGGATATACAGGTGTCAGATGTGATATTGAAGGTAAGTAAACCATCTTCTTGTGAATAAGGGCCGTATGCAGCGCTCTTACCTTGACTAAAGTTGAACTTCGGCTAAAGTCTAATTTTACAAAGTTAGGATTAAGGCTTTCATTTTCTACATTTGATAGTCAAATTTAAGCACGACTTTCGTAAAGATCGACTCGTGCTTACCTAAAGTTCGACTTAAGTCTAACTTTAGTCAAAGTTCAGGTAAAGTACGAGCGCTGCATATGGCCCTAAGGATTACTGACTGTACTGATAATCAATGAAAAAACGAAAACAAACTTTACAATAAACCCATATATGACTATACACTTTGGATCAAGTCTAAATTTGTGCGATTATTTTAATAGCAGATAATCCTAATCAGGGAAAGGTAATCCTAATCAGGGGCAGACAATCCTAGTCAAGTGCCTATCCAGATTAGGGGCATATAATCGTAATCAGGGACACATTATAGTAATCATAGGGAAATCAATTTGATCCTAGTAATAGAACTTGTTCACGTCTCGCTTTCGAAACATTGAACGCGCATCTAAAGGTATCAATAATTAGATTTATCAATTCCAAATATTATAAATTTGGAGTTAGTGGGATTGGAGACAGGCTTAAATACGTCAAGTTGACGATTTTACTGTAATGATTCATTTCAGAGAGAATCTGTGAGGTTTGTGAAAATGGTGGAAATTTAATGAACACGAATAGCCAAGGTGACTGTAGATGTTCCTGTCCACCAGGTTTCAGCGGCAGTCGATGCGAACAGAGTAGGTTCAACTTGAGTGGTTTATTCCAATTGTGTGTGTCCTAGAAATATCTTTTGAAAATTAGAAGTTGAAAATGTCTAGTAGCAGTAGTGGTTTTTGGAATTTGATATTTCTCTTATTTAAAAAAAGAAAAAAAATCATTGAAGAACTAACGATTCAAAACTCAAAACGAGACCAAAAATCTTAAACAACATATTGGCGAAATATTGGTAGCAGCAAATGAACTTTTTATGAAGAAGAATATTAATTATGAATGAAGTATTTTTGTACATTTGATCATAGTATTTTATTGTTATTAACTACATGGTACAGAAAAACAGAACATTAATTCATTTCATTTAAATTGCAGATCTATGCGATAGTATGTATGGTAGCTGTCAAGGAACAGTAACACCCGTAGTCGGAGGTTGTAGATGTAACTGTAATCCAGGATTCACCGGACAATACTGTCGAGGTAATTTATTGAACATGAGTTAAGGTCCTATGCGGATAAATGGCGGTGCCAGCCTTCCGAGACAGGGGGGTACACATAGGGGGCAGACCGACTCGATGGGGGGACAACTGCCGAGGCTGAATCTCTGTGGACACGTCAAATTCACAAGCGTCTGAAAGGATTCCATTAAGAAAATATAAAAAAAAATTGATTGGTGAATTCTGACATATATTTTGGGGCAAAAAGGTATAAAAATCATTCTTCTAAATTTGTTTAAAAAACAGTGGTGTGCAATAAGGGGTAACTCTACTGGCGCCATCACTGGTGCAGAAACTATATACTTAGTCCGTCATGCAGTACCTGTATTCCCACCTTGTAATACAGGTGTTTTCAACCTTTTCCTTCTATAACCACTTACAGGATTCTTGATCCATTTCATTATACCCCAACGTTCAGTAATTGTGATTTTCTCTTAGGTTTCTTTCGCAATCCTTTTCATGTCGGAGAATATAGCTGAATAAAACAAGTTAAATTATTATTGCCCAAAAGTATAATGTTATTATAGATGACAAAGCGCCGCATTACCCCCGAAAGATTTCAAAATTGCTCTTGTTCATACAACGCTTCGAACACCTTTTCTTCATCTCTTCATTCATTTAATCCGCGAATAGACGAGTTACGGTGCTCTATGCGGCACACGGTGCGGTATAACCGATACAGAAGACAATATAAGAAATGAATACACTAGGTGCGAGCACGATTCGTTTCTATTATTTTCTACCGTATTGATAATCCCGCACCGTACATCGTACCGGACATCGGACATCGTACCGGACACCGAACACCGTCTATTCCCACCTTTAGTCTGATCTTATCCCAGATTTGTAAGTTATATGATTTTGACTTATATCCCTTGTAATTTATTACAGATGTGCTCTGTGGATCTGAATATTGTGCTGCTTCTAATCGAGGTTTGCCAACCTTTGATTTAGTTGCCGGACGGTGTGGTTGTACTTGTGTTGCAGGATATACTGGTCCAAAGTGCGAATTGACAGGTAAGTGTTCCTTTTGGTTATTCCAAGATTTGTTAAAGTTTTTGATATTTCATATTTTGATCCAACATTGATAAATTAAAAAAACGAAGACAGACTAAAGAGAGAGACTGCGACGGAGAATGGTTTACGTCCGAGGAGGGGGTGGGGCGAGATATCTCTAACCTAGTTATGAGATTTTTGCCCGAAAAACATGCTTTCGGGGCCGCTCTGCCACCACCCTTTGGCTCCGCCACTGCAGAGAGAGTTTATCTAAAAGGATAGCATAATAAATTCTCAAGGATTTGAAATTTTTCTAAAGTTTACATGTCTTACAAAGGTTTCCATTTGTTTCCTGTGGATTGCATTGTTTACCGTTTACTTCTAGATTGTACGTATAACAATCCGTGTATGAATGGTGGTAGTGCAAGGCGAGCTGGCTCGTCATGTTACTGTAGTTGCCAAGCTGGCTGGACAGGAAGTACATGTGAAACTCGAGGTAAAGAACAGGGGCCTAATTCTCCAGAACTTAACTTCTGATTTTAAGAAATACAGTAATCTGATTGGATAAAAAAACAAAATTTAAAATCAATTTTAGTCATTGACCAATCATATTTAAGGTTTTCATGAATAAACTTTGAAAAGTATAAAATCATCTTCACAGTGACAAGCTATTACAAGATACGTCGAATACCACGGCGTTCTTTTCAGAGAGTCCACACAGCTGTTTTTGCATGTCATAACGTCATTCGGCCTATCCAAAATGGAAGAGCGAACATGATGGAAAATCATCCAGTCGCTATGCAAGTTAATAAACTCTTGATACTTGAACATACATGTTCCAGTTTCTTTCCACGTTTACCGTGTTTCATTTCACTGTGATGTTTCTATTTATAGAGGTAATTTGCCAGCCTTGTCTGAATGGTGGTTTTTTAAGCTCGCCTAGTAGATGTTTATGTACCTGTAGAGATGGTTACAGTGGACCACAGTGTGAAACCGGTAAGTGTGGTGATAATATTCTTCTGATTTACAGTTATACCAAGGGTGGGGCTTGTGAACATGTTGGGAGCAATGAGCTAGCAAAGTCCGAACTTTGAAACGTCGACACTTTCAAAGTGTCTTTTTTCTAATTTTACATTTGAAATCCACACAAATCCCCCTGTGCCTCATTTAAACTTGGATTGCACTACGATCTGGGACTCAATTTGTGTTAAATTAGTGGAACCTGTACTTTGAAGACTTGACATTGTAAAAATGTGTTTAACAGTGGCGTATCAACGAGGGAGGGAGAGGGATGGCCCTTGCTCGGCCCTCAATTAATGTTTCCCAGAAACGCCACTGGTGTTTAACCATGTGATTTTGGTATTTTGTATAGATGAATGTAGAAACATACAATCCACCTGTCGAAATGGACAGATACAAAGATTACGAGGAGGTTGTTTATGTCGATGTAATTCTGGTTTGACTGGACCATCTTGTGATAGTAAGCATGTTATTACTTATTTCTGTGATATATAACCACAGAGAAAATAGGATGTTTTGACTTTAGATTTCCAAGAAATGGAATTTTACGTCTGACTTCTTAATGGAATTAATTATTAACCTAGAAATACTCCATTTAATATCTATATCTGTTAATTGTTAATTGGTCGTTATTTTACAACCCGTGTGTAAACTTACTTATTAATGTTCCATCGATATATCCATTATATTTTAAATGGAACATATTCTTTAGGTTGTGCCGTTAATAACTGTCAAAATGGTGGACAACCCTATGTTCTAAATGGAGCATGTACTTGTCGATGTTTCGGTAACTGGGCTGGTGATTTGTGCAGCAGGTCAACGAGTAAGTTTTGTTTGTTCTCTGTCGGTCATCGTTGGCTCTCAATGGATTACGAGTCAGTATAAGGCTGAAATTCATTTCCTAAATTTAATTGATCGAGGATATAACCCTTATTATCAAAATTTTATCTGATTGGATAATATTACTAAGATTAAAATCCGTTTGAGTGATTAACCAATCATATAACCCGAGCTCTTCAATCAGTTTTGAATGAAAACATTGTTAAAACACCGGGGCATGCTGTATATAATGAATATCAACAATCACAACTTCAACTAACGGACAGTACATAATGTCAAGCTATTACGAACTTCGTCTTATTCCTTGACTACAACAGTCACCTTTCTTGTGTATAGAAGTTTGTAAATAAAGCGATTTGATTGGATTGTACGCTAGCACATATAGCCAATCAGAGGCCTCGACAGAAAATCTGTGAATACAAAGCCATAAGAGCTCCGATTGGCTGTATTGGCTGGCGTACAATCCAATCAAACCGCCGCTTTCAATGATACAAGAAGAGTCTATGAATAAGTATGAGGTTCTTAATAGCTTAACATTATGAAGTGTCATCAGGCTCGCCACTTTCCGCAATGTTGTGATGTTCGCTTGTATCATTGATAATCTGACATTATTTAATCTAATATTTGTCAATTTTAGACCCATGTCTTAATGTCAATTGTAATGGAGGCACGCCGATAGTCAGAGGTGACGTGTGTTCCTGTCAATGTCCAGGTGGCTTTACTGGTGAAGCATGCAATGGTAAGTGACCCAAATATATATTTATTCAGAATGTCAGGTAGAGTTACATAGTATCTGAGCACAAGTTTACTGTGGGAAAATACAAAACAAAAGTAGTGATGATTCGAACCACAAAATGCAACTCAAAATCAAAAACAAAATAAAGCCGAAACACTGGAAGCAGATAATGGATACATGACACAAGTATTTCCAAACTATTTCTCATTCAACACAAATATCTTAGCTAAATACGCAACAGTTTCTTTTGTTTTTGCTGATGATTGCACAAACTGCAAACGCCAGTGGCTTGAAACGAAAAGATGTAGCCTTATATCCTAATAATTATTTTTTATATTTTTGTTTAGTTCCACTGTGTAAAAATTTCGAGACTTGTAACTCACAAGGTATAGCATATTTCAACACCACGACCCAGGCCTGCGCCTGTAACTGTAACTCAGATTTCCTACCACCATTCTGTTCTCAAAGAGGTATGTAGACACCCATAGGCATAGACGTAGGAAATATAATTTAAGGGCAGTGGTTCCCAACCCTTTTCACTCTCACACCCCTGGGGCAATAATTTTAACCCCTCACACCCCAAAACATTGGACATTCATAACATTGCGAATTTTTAGTTTTTCATTCAAGCTATTCGTGCGATTGCAATAAGACTCTCATGTGGAAAAGGCTGTTCTGTTTTCCCTATACACCAAAAGTTCAAATCTTGGAACGGTTGTCGACAAAGCGATATACATGTCATCCACCGCATCGTGTCTAATTCTAGCTTTAGTTTAGATGACCATGTGTCGAGAATCATGGCTTCTCTCATCCAGCCCCTCTTTGGCTAATTAGAGCATCCTCGCCATAGACAGGTATAGTCTGGGCGTCACTGAATGCCGAGAATGCCTACTCTCAGATGTATGTCGTTATGATCATTATATTACGTTTTTTGTATCGTTGTAGATTGCTCTGTATTAAACTGTGGTGCTGGCCGAGGTGTACCGGTCAACGGTCGATGTCAATGTCAATGTCCAGCTGGATTCACAGGCGACAGATGTTCTACACCAAGTAAGATAACAGTTACATTCGATAATCCTCGGCAGTTTCCGTACGGCTGAATTTGTCTCAGTTATGAATTGTAGATTGCGTTGCGTCTTCAAGGGCGAGACTCTGTTACTTCCATTCATTATCGTGATGTGTTGCAGATCGCTAGAGAAACTGTAGACCTTTTGTAACACTTATTCAGAGTTTCAAATGTCGTATCCCGTTGTCGTAGGAGAGTCGTGGGTGAGAGGGAGAAGTAGCCTCCCTGATATTAATTTTCTTTCGGATAGCAGGCGGGAATATAGTGCTAGAATCCTCTTTTCCCGGGACATATTACATGAAGATAGAGCTATGATCAAGTCTCTCAAAGAAACGGATACGCTTATGAATTCTAAAATCTTACGATGAAAGTTTGTTGAAATGTAGGCTTCTGGTAGATATTATATCTTGAATTGTTGTGGAATTTCCATGTATATTCCCAGAAAGAAAAATCTTCCAAGAAATCTCTCGTGCACAAGACTCTCAAAATACATACTTAGCAATGTGGATTCTGTGATAGTTTTGAAGTACATTTGTAAAGGAGCAGCACGTGTTCTGCAGGATGGTAGAAATCTACAGAAATCAAAACAAAATGTGCTTGTACCTTTATATTGTTTTTAATCCCGTTTCACAAAATATATTTTCCACCGAGAGCAAAAATTATCTTGAAATCACCTCAAATACAGAATCTTTTTTTTTAAATTTCAATGGATAAACTAAACATTAATTAATGTTTTCTTACAGTTTGCTCACCCTGTCAAAATGGGGGATCTCAAGTTTCCACACAATCTTGCAGATGTCAATGTCGTAACGGATATACTGGACCTTTATGTCAGAACGGTAAGTGCTTTAGGGAAACCAGTCATTTGGGTACAAATAGTTTCACCACAAGTCATTTAGACTATTGGCGGGGTAAAAGGGGGGTGGGGGAGGGCTCTTCCCCTAAAAGCAAAATCCCCCCCCCCCCCCCCTTTGGACGTAAACCTGGCTCCACCACTGATTTAGACAAGATACTTTAGGCACACGCTAATTCATACACACTGATTTACGTATATCTTAAATTAGGAAGAGAACAAACATTGTCGGTGGCCCACCTAATTCCGAATTCTGCAGCCATCATTGTTTATATGCCCTATTTCTCTCCACCTTCCACCTGTTTGAGCTAATGAGGGCGGTGTATTAATCAGAGGATGTGGTTCAAACACGCTGCAATTGAGAGTAAACGAGATGACGAAATAACATTGAAACTCTTTTATTTATAGATCTATGTGCTCAATTGAGATGTGACCAAGGGACTAAAATACCAACAGCAACAGGTTGTAGATGCCAGTGTAATTCACCAGCTGTAACTGGTACCAACTGTGATCGTAAGTAGATTTTTGGGGCAGATTTCTCCCAAATAATAACGAGAAATCTATAACTGAAATTGGCCTCTTTTATTTGGGAATGAAATGAGTGGACGACAGTACTCTGTGATGTTTTAATTTAGGATGTCCAACTGTAATGGTTGGTTACTAATCAAAAAGTCAATTTGGACGAAAGCTGATAAATATTGTGTTCTATCATTTGGCAGAGAAAATATTTAGACAAATTCTTTTCCAATGATATTTCAGGATGTTCAAATGTATGTCAAAATGGAGGAATTGCTTCAACCCCGGCCAGCGGATGTCGCTGTTCTTGTACCAATGGATATACCGGAAGTAGTTGTACTATACCTCGTAAGTTCTTTATTTACATACATACAAATTGCGGACTGGAAAAATCTTTCCCAAATTATATTTTTTTAAATAAGGTTTTTTCATCGAATGACATTTGCATTAACTCAAGGCATTTTGGATCCACGGCGGTGAAAGACAGGCTCTGAAGGTTATGAGTGCAAATGTGGAATTTCGTTTCTCCGTGTGGAGGACAAACAGCATAAGCCCCCCCTAACAAAATCTACGTCTCTACATTATGCTTTGACCTAGACACCTAAAGAATCAATCTACGACTCTGCGACTATAATTGGGCCTCTGCGTTAAAATCTTGGCTGATTAGTTTTGTTTGTATGTATATGGGCGAAATGCAAGAAAGGCTTTTGCCCTAATTTCTTACCCAAATAATTGATTATTATTATTATTATTATTATTATTAATACTTACTATTATTATTATTACTATTATTATTACTATTATTATTATTATTATTATTAATACTTACTATTATTATTATTACTATTATTATTATTATTATTATTATTATTATTATTATTATTAATACTTACTATTATTATTATTACTATTATTATTATTATTATTATTATTATCCACTGTGTGTCATTGTCAATGTCCTAATTATTATGGTTGTAATTTAGGTATAACATTGTGGTTGCAGACAAAGCGTCCTTGTCGAAGATTTGTCATTGTGTATTTTTGTTTTACAGCGTCCTGTCTGAGCAGCTCGTACTGTAATAATCGCGGAACCTCACGATACCTTTCACGCATCAATGGATGTAGTTGTACCTGTAACCGAGGCTGGCAGGGAAGCACGTGTGACAGACGAGGTAAGTAGTGAGACAATTAAAGGGATTGTAAAGAGGTATTCTAAATATTTCAGATGTACCGCGGACACAAACAGCCCACATCCCATCGCACTAATAAATTCTGTCAATATCCCAACACATATAAAATAAATTAGAAAACCTCTTCAAAATTCGCTTTATTACTTTACTTTTGTAGGTGAATTGTACAAACGATAAAATATGTACTAGCACAACAATTTTATTAACCAAAAATCTCGCTTAAGCATGATAGAATCGCGAGCAATAATAGTATTTTGCTAAAAGTATTTGTAGTTGTAGCTCTTTCGGCTGACAATTTCGTGCAATTCAGTCTTATTTTGAAGCGTAAATTAAGCCTTCTAAATGCGCAAAATCTGAAATTCGTTGGCCCCATTGGCAGGTTGCTGAGGTACCTCTAGAAAGGAGATTCAAAGCGAGATGAAATACGAAGAAACCTAAGTATAATCCCAATTTAAAGAAATGAAGCAATTAAGTAAACATAGATAGAATTAAAACCATCTTAAAGTATTTTATCATGAAACTGGTTCTAAGAGTCTAACGTACCACCATATCAACGTACCAAATTGAGTATGTTCGTGTATTTTATTATAGATTGCAGTATATTGAACTGTGGAAGTGGAACAGCTCGTCTAATCAGAGACCAATGTGCGTGTTCTTGTCCTCCCGAATTTACTGGAACCAATTGTCAAATACCAAGTAAGTTATTGTCATTTACCTTTACCAGTTTACAGACCCCAATATTATCTATCAGTAATCAGGCACGTAGCTAGAAAAAAAAAATGCCCCCACCCTCCCTTGAAAAATTTAGATGACTTAAATGACTTGTTGAGTCACTATAGTTGAGCCCCACCCTCCCAACTTAAAAAAATGTTCGATTTTCTTAAAACTACTTGTCATTAACCTATTGTCCCATCCTTATGCTAGGTTTACACTATGTTCCCGGCTTACCAGTGATAATCCACATTGATTTAGGTTCTAACGGTCTTCATTACCCCAACTTAATTGCGCATAAAAAATACAATGTAAAACTCCTTATGTTTCGTTTACGTTTAGATCTTTTGCATTGGTTTAACTTTTTTTTTCAGCTTGTGTTAATACTCAATGTCTAAACAGTGGAACTCCTGCTCCAGGAAATGGTGGTACTTGCTATTGTAGATGTCCACCAACCCATTCTGGTACTAGGTGTGAAATTCCAGGTAAATTGACTCTTAATCATCATCATCATTATCGTCGTGACGTCGTCATCATCATAATCATCATCATCGATCGTCATCAAGCACCAATCGTCCTCGTCGTAGTCATCCACCATCATCATCATCATCATCAGCATCAGCAGCATCAGCGTCATCAGCAGCAGTAGCAATATCATCATCGTTCCATCATTATATCCACTCTTCTTATCAACATAAAAATGGTGGCTGTAAATTAAGTAGTAATCCGGGGGCCTTATTCTCGAAAACTTAACTAATAGTGGTTTTAGTTCTCTGGTTTGACAATCACTAAAATCTGTTTATCCAATCAGATTACTGTATTTCTTTAAAATTTTGATTTTATCTTTGTTAAGGCTTCGAGAATAAGTTCCTAGATATGTGGTCCTAATGTCGCGTTTCCTATTGTGATAAAATACACTGCAACATGCTCGATTTCTGTCAACGTTACTAAAGACACTTATTATTATGGAAGGATGTAAAGTTACTTACTAGGAGTATCTATCATTGCAAAACAATTTTTAGATTTGTAACCTTAAATTAATATATTTCAGTGTGTTCTCAATGTCTAAACGGTGGAACTAGAATCTCTGCCAATACTTGTGGCTGCCGATGTCCCGTTGGATTCACCGGAGAAAGATGTCAAAACGGTTAGTATTAAAATCACTACCTCGACTTAATAAGTCGAATTTTTAAAAATGTTCACTATTTCAACCTACCTTCCAAATCACACTTGAAGGTTAAGAGCAAGTTTTCATTGTGATTTGATGGATTTGTTGAAATAATTATAGCTTTTTTTTTATAAATTCGACATTTCAAGTCGAAATAGAGATTCTAAATGGCTGTCAACTACATTCGTGTGTTCATGAATACTATTTTGGACTAAGAACAAATTTCTATATAAAGATCCGCATCACAAACATCGGAAGTTACTCCAATATGAGGTCAATAATCAGAAACAGAGTGTGGTCAAATACATAAACTTCAGTAGGGACGCAGACTGAAATAGGTCAGTTGTCTGAAGAACACACTGAAGATCTGTTTTAATTTTTTTATTCTTATTTATAGATCTATGTAGCCAGGTGAGATGTGTCCAAGGAACCAGAATACCACAACTAGGTGGTTGTAGATGTCAGTGTAATTCACCAGATATTACTGGTACCAACTGTGATCGTAAGTAGATATTTTGCGGCAGATTTCCAACCTTTGTCACTCTCTATTTCTGTTATGGTCTTTTCCAATCACAATTCTAAATAGTTATTCACATATTTGCTTAATTTGCTAATACAACTTTTCATTATGAAATACTTCTTCATTTACGATTGATCGATTGATATACTACCTCATATGAAAAGTTTATTTGCTAAATATAGCCAACAGTTTTTGTTGGATTTCGCTTGTCGTTTTTTAAGTTAGTACTTGAGGTTTTGTTTGTCCTACATGTTTGCGTTATTCGCTTATACAGGTCATCACTGTCAATTGTTCATCATAGTACACTATCAAATTTGAATTCTGAAAAATGATATAGATAACCGCAATTGAGTTTCATTAGCTGGTGAAGCAAATATAAGACCACTATTATCGTGATTGTTGGTGATGTACTACGAACAGACATCTAAATTCTTTATAATTCAATTGTATTCATGGCTGTAAGGCTATGGATGCCTCACAAACGACAACCAAACTTTCGAACTGTCTATTCTAAATATTTTAAAATCATCTGACTGAAATTTTGATTTGATCCTTTCAGAATGTAGAAGTAGTTATTGCTCAAATGGTGGAATTCCTTCCCTTACCGCTAACGGATGTTCTTGTACTTGCACCAATGGTTACACCGGAAATAGATGTACTATCGAACGTGAGTACCGAACAGGGATTATTTGGTTATTTATGTGGTCCACCACACTTTCAAAAAGGGAAATAATTGCCGTTGGGCCCCCTTGATATTTCGCAGTCCTTACTCATCCTCTATACCTAATAATTCGAAGAAAGGTGTCTGCCTGCTGACGACCTTAACAACCGTAAGTTTTCAGAACGTAAAAGAAGATCTAACTTGCATTCAATAAAATAAAGTAAATCGTTATACTCAAATAGCCGTGTCATATAAACAATAAGAAACTAGGAAAACGCACAATTTGCAAGTCGGGTTGTTGACAGCTATTGTTGCTGTCGTGACAATTTTCACTATATAACATTAGCAAATGCCAGTATTCTACCAATGTGCCGTAAGATATAGCTCCTATTACTTTTTCCGTCTTCCTCAGCCCAATCAGGTGTAGAAGAGTAGGGTGTAAAACTTTTTAAACATTTTATTTAGTTATAACATTAACTCAATTGTACTTAGTTTTGTATTGTATGTTGTAGCACGATGTTTATTAGCATCCTACTGTAACAATCATGGTACATCACGATATGATTCTAGTAGAAGAGGGTGTATCTGTACCTGTAACGCAGGCTGGCAGGGAGACCAGTGTCAAACACCAGGTTCGTATTGCTTTGTGAGATTTTTAAAAAATCAAATGTTGGAAAGATAACTTTCTTTAGCATCTTGTTTGATTCATAAGATAAACCTTAAAAAAGACACATCCGTAGTTTACAAGGTTCACAAGGATTCTGTCTACCAGTTGGGTCTAAGAACATCCATATTTTACGAGGATCTTCACCAAAAAAGCAACAATGTTATACTGTTTGCTTGATAGGACATATTACTATTAACATCTATCTATTTCAGTCTGTTCTCAATGTCTAAACGGTGGAACTAGAATCTCTAACGACCGTTGTGGTTGTCAATGTCCTAATGGATTTACTGGGGAAAGATGTCAAAACGGTTAGTATAATAAATATTACATTTACAAAGATATAGACTGGTGCCTCCATTGTTTCAGAATAGAAATAGCTAGAATAGCTTACTAGTAGTTATATACGTAGACTGTAGTAGAGTATTTTGGGATTCGTAGGGTCATGAATACGATTTTGGACTAAGAACAAATCTCTATTTAAAGATCTGTGTAAGAACCATACCACAGACATCAGAAGTGAATTCAGAATGGGGTCATTGGGGAAGCCTGTTCATTTTATTTCAAATACATAAACTTCAGTAGGGACAGACCGACATAGGTCAGTTGTCTGAAGATCACCCATCATGAAACGTGTTTCGGGTTCTGTTTTAATATTTCTATTTATAGATCTATGTAGCCAGGTGAGATGTGTCCAAGGAACCAGAATACCACAACTAGGTGGTTGTAGATGTCAGTGTAATTCACCAGATATTACTGGTACCAACTGTGATCGTGAGTAGATATTTTGCGGCAGATTTCTAGACTTGTTCTTTCTTTTTTCCTTTTTTTTCTTTTCCTATCACACTTCTGATAGTAATTTAAATATTTGCTAAATTTGAAATTTGCCATTCTACAACACATCCCATGTCGTCGCCGTTAAGCGGTGTAAATAAGATTCTGAATGCAGTTTAAATTTGATTTCAATTCAGAATGTAGAAGAGATTATTGCTCTAATGGTGGAATTCCTTCCCTTACCGCTAACGGATGTTCTTGTACTTGTACCAATGGTTACACCGGAACTAGATGTACTCGCGAACGTGAGTCACAAATTTCATTCTCAGGGGGGCTCTCGATTAGTTACCAGTTTAGCCCATCTCCCCTTTCAAAGTTCTTATGATATTATTTAAGTTGTCTGAGTTGTCTGCGAGTTCCCCTTGACTATTCAGCTTGTGTTAAAACTCGTTGTCTAGATGGTTGAACTGCTGCTCCATTGAAATAAATCATCATCACCCGTCATTTCTTTTCAATTAGTTATAATTAGGGTATAATTCAAGGCAATATCCACATGGACTATCTGGTAATGTCCGAAAAAACAGAACTCAGATATCTGCCATATTCATTGCATTCTTTAATGTTGTACTCTTTGTCAAAAAGCGAAAATGTTTTACTCTTTACTTGTTAGTATATTATTATAAAGATCTATCTATTTCAGTCTGTTCTCAATGTCTAAACGGTGGAACTAGAATCTCTAACGACCGTTGTGGTTGTCAATGTCCTGCTGGATTCAGTGGAGATACATGCCAGAATAGTAAGTTGAAATTCAATGTAATTAACATCCTTGGAAATTTCCAAATATCACCCGATGCAAATCTGGATTCATATACAGAATGTTATCATTATCCCTTATTTATATTACAAATGACAATGTAACTTGCAGAAACTTTGTGTACAATAAGACTCATGAGTTGTATACCATATAAACTGATGATGACAATGTAAATTGTAGAAACGTTGTTTACTATAAAATTCGGGAATATTATGCCATTATAAACTGATGATGACAATGTAAAATGTTGAAACGTTGTGTACAATAATTAACATGAAATTGTGTTCCGTTATTTAGAATGTATAGAGTTAAACCTTACCACTTTAATCTATTTATAGATCTATGTAATCAAGTAAGATGTGTCCAAGGAACTAAAATACCAACAACAGGAGGTTGTAGATGTCAGTGCAATGCAAATATTATTGGCACCAACTGTGATCGTAAGTAGATATTTTAGACTGAAGGTTTTGAAAAATACCAGTTCTATGTGAAAATACCGGCTGTCTGAAAAGTCTTCTTTCTGTGAAAAAGGGTCCTATTAGGATGTCGTGCAAGAAAGGCTAGTTACGAACCTTGTACACGTGCATGTCTTCAATCAATATGAAATTGTACATGTATGATTAAAGGTATTGTAAAGAGGTTTTCTAGCCTTTTTATGTGTATCAGAGGCATCCCAATTCTTCGTCCAATGCCCGTGGTTCCCAAATAGAAGTCACATAATGTCCCCGACGTACATAAAAAGGTTGGAAAAGCTCTTTGAGTTTTTGTTGCTTAACAAATTACATCCCACCCTGTTTAATTGTAATGCTTGATAACTTTGCAGAATGTCGAAATGTGTGTCAAAATGGAGGACAGGTGGCCCTGACCGTTAACGGATGTACGTGTACTTGTGCCAATGGTTATACCGGAAGTAGATGTACTATACCACGTAAGTCGCGAGTTTTCACTATCCTTTTTTGTCTATTGATGTTACACAAACGTTACAATTAGGTTAAGTGAGTTTCCAGAAAGGAATTTCAAGTTGACCAATCTGGTTACGGATTGGTATACATTTTGTCTCATCTTTCTGTGGTTGTTGGTAACACATCTACTTCAAATTGACGATGGAGACCCAGGCTTGCGGTTTCCTAATCGGACAATAAATCAGACTTGAACGCTGTTGACTGCTGTCGTTAAATATTAGATGTTATTAGTTCAGTTACATATACAGTTGTCTCATAAAGGCAGTTTATATCTTAAAGTAGAGTACTACGTAGCCCCTTGTCAATTTGCCGATTACAGTCGAAACGAACCTGTAATGTAATCAGAGGCGGACTAGGGGTCGGATATCACTGCAGAAGTAGTACCAGCTGTGCGTTGAGGTAGGGACATTGTTAAGCAATTGGTTCGTTGCCCAAAACTGCTTAGTCTGCCCTGAATGCAACCCTTACTAATAAATATTATCTCTCCATGCCTTTTCAGCTTCCTGTGCCACCAGTTCTTTCTGTAATAACCGTGGTAATTCTCGATTTGAAGCTAGAGTTGGAGGTTGTACTTGTACCTGTAATAACGGATGGTCTGGAAGTCGATGTGAACGAAGAGGTAAATTATATCTTTATAGTAGGGGTCTCTTTTTTCCAAACGAATTTTACATGATATTATATTGTTGCTGAATAATACCCATGAGTCTTGGTATCTAATCTTAGGATACATGTGCTTCAGGGAGCTATGTTTAGCCAGTCCTTTCGTACATTCGAGGCTATGGGAATCCTCATAATTAATCAGTAAATGAAAATGTATAGAGGAACTAGTGTTTCAAGCTGTGCTCGAGAGAAAGTAGACCAGGGTTGAATGTGAAACTGAGGCAGAATGTGCTTCCCTCTATAGTTGTATACATCTTTTTGAAGGGATCATTACCTAATACGATCTAGTTAATCTGAGTATAGATATTGATTAATGTAGATATATCTATGTTTGTAATGCTGGCGTAAGAGCAGTACTGAACGCTATAACAAGTTTAGTAATGTTAATCTTAATCTTTGTATGTTGAACAGATTGTTCAGGGTATACCCAGTGTCAGAATGGGTCACCGGTAGTATTGGGTAACAACTGCGGGTGTAATTGTAATGCTGGATGGTCTGGAACTCGGTGTGAAACTAGAGGTAGGTCCATAGAGCTCTCAAATCGCACAATGTTGAACATAATGTTGAAAAGGATTCAAAGTAAACTGGATAACCTATGTATGGGAAGTGAGGACACATATAGTACCATTTCTAATTCTCATCTGACGTCTGAAGCTTCTGAAAAAACATCCTGTGGTCCTGTAATGATTCTTTACAATACCAGACAAACGTGCATATAAACACTACATACAAATACAGAGAGTAAAAGTTTCATTTGTGAACGTTGACATGACTGTAGCTCGTCTATCGACATGATAGTAACATTATTCCGTTATTAACTGAAAACGCACAGCTACACAAATTCAGAAACTATGATGATAAAATGATGTTTTCCTCCATTACACCACATCGCGATAGATAGTGCATCGTAACCCCTAACATTGTAATATTGTAATACTATCTTATAGTGGTCTTAGTATCGTGATACTTAGCGTATCGTAGCCCTGGTTCCATTATATGTATCTTATCGTGCCCTGTTTTCGTAATGTGTATCGTTGCATTACATGAAGGCTAGTTCTATAGTTATCATAGCGTTCTTTTCTCATTTTAAACCTGTTTTCAGATTGTTCAGGGTATACATTATGTCAGAATGGTTCACCAGCAGCTCAAGGTAACAACTGTGTGTGTAATTGTCGCAGTGGATGGACTGGAAGTAGATGCGAAACTAGAAGTAAGAGAATTGTTTATATGTACTATTTGATATAGTGATTATTATTGTATTATCTTTATACATGTCCAGAATACAAGACCAGATTTCACCGAATATTATCATTAATCATTAAGAACAATTACATAGTGAAATTCACAGTGATGGTGATTGTCAATATCGGAAAGTTAGTCTCTTTTCTAGAAATAGCTCTCCTGAGGAAGGGTGTGTATATCCGAAACGCACGGTTGCAGCACTACATGAGCTCCAGTTGATATTCACATTCCAATTGTATCCTTTAGTAAATACTGTGCACGTTAAAGATATCTCAACAGTTGGAAATAGATAAAGAGTGATCTAATGCCCCTTCCCTGGCACAAGTTCCGTACTGCACATTGCATGGCGTTGTATGTCTTCAGGTGCAGAAAAAAAGGACGTAAAACTTCATTTCATTTTATTCTTTTCTAATCGTAACCTAATTATTTCAGTATGTACGCCGTTGACCTACCCTTGTCAAAATGGAGGAACAACGACTTCTAACGGTCAATCATGCTCATGTTCATGTCCACTGGGATATTCAGGACTAACTTGTGCTACCAGTGAGTTTTCTTTTCTTAATAACGAAGAGTTGTACAAAAGTATATATTCTATCATTCAACCTACTAAGAAAGACATATACATTAATTGTGGTTCAAATTCCCACTAAAACCCACACAGAAATGTTTGATTTGCTATAGAACGAATATCGCCCTCGGTCCATAGTTATGATTTACTTCACATCCGGGAGAAGTGACAGGACCAGACTTAGTTGTGAACTGGGCTGTTAATACGAACGGAAACTGGAAAGTGAAATATATAGATATAATGCTTGTGTGGAAAATCGACAAATTGTTGCTCCTACATGGAGGGGGGTTGTTTTGCAAATTTTGTTGAAGCATGGCGTGAAAGATATGGTTAGAAGAGGACAGTTAGACATACATGGTAAACTTTAGATGTTTGATGTATATTATTAAATGATTTGAATTACTGTATTGTAGATATGTGTTCTGGACAATGTGGTAATAACGGACGAGGTCAACCTGCAGTTGGTGGAGGGTGTACATGTGTCTGTAATACTGGTTATACTGGAGATAAATGTACAGGTATGTATACTACTCATTACCAAAGGGAGTTTTCATCCAAGACCGTAGGGTAATGAAGGCAAAATGCCACTCTTTTGAAACGACGACCAAACTGTAGAAGCGTCTTGTTTTGCGTCTTATTTTAACTTTCATTGCGTTACGGCCTTGTTATCCAATATTATCTTCTCTAGATAAACGTTCATCTAGGATGGTATTCAGCGATGAGAGATTTTAATTACTGTATTAATGGGATGGGTATTGTTCAGCTGTTTTTGATCAGTTGCTGTAAGATTCATCCCAACCCTCTCACTTTCTCTTTTAACCGCAGATGGCGATCGGCCTTCTAATACTTATCTAACGAAGCAATCCAATACTCTCGGTAATACTCTAGGTGCAATAATAACTTAAGAACTATCGATTGGATTTATGGTTAGATACAAGATAACAACAATTACCTTATATTTTCAGTGTCTCTATGCGACGACTATTGTGGAGACAATGGTTTTGCCACAGCATCTTATGCTTCCGGTTGTAGTTGTAGATGTGTAGCAGGCTTCACCGGATCTCAGTGTCAATCACGTGGTATGTATCTATCTTACACCTGATATCAATCTGCAAATGAGTTTGATTGATGTGTTTTGTTTTTAGAAAGAGTAAGCCTATTACTACTGAAATGCAACCAGCGCTATTGACTGAATCGACTAGGGCTCCCCTCATTTTCCCTCCTGACTTATCAGGATAGCTGTAGGAAATGGGGATTAATTTTCCAATAATAGACTTAAGCCAATGAGCAATATGGATGTACTCACTGAACAGGCTGTAGGTTTCCCATTTCCTGGTTTATAATAGATATAATTCCTCATATAAATAGCTCGTTTGCTGATACCTATATATATTCACGAACTGTTATTTTGAATTCCGAGTTTCGTTTTGCGGTTCTGATCGTGAGTACGTGGGTTTATATATATTTATCCCAAGTCCTCCTCTATGATAGCTATATACTAATTGACTTGGTGTCTTGTTTCAGATTGTGCTACTATTGCTGGATGTCTAAATGGAGGTACTGGTTATGCTGGAACAGGTGGAGGATGTGTCTGTAGATGTACCAGTTCATGGCAAGGAACTTATTGTCAAGAAAGAGGTATGTTTTAAGGATATTTGAGGCCAGGAGCCCGTACAGTACAGTACAACCAGTCATTAACATTACAAACATTTACAATCATACAATTTACACAGACACAAAATTATAGCATAATTCAATACATCACAAAAACACGAAAATAGAAAACTTCTAAAATCAGTGTTTTAGTTTTCGGATGGTCAATATCTCAAATATATTTTAAACCACGACAAGATTACTGTATTTATGAAAAATTAAATAAATGATTTAATTATCAAATTAATTTTCAGTTTGTTCTCAATCGCTGGTACGATGTGAAAATGGTGGAACCCCCACATCTAATGGTGCTGCTTGCTCTTGTCAGTGTCCCCCGGGATATACAGGATCCAGGTGCCAAACAGGTAAGCATCTTATTAATTTTATGTCCAAATTTTCTGCACCTTAGTAAAGACGGGTATACACTGTACAACGAGGGAAATTTTGCCAGGACAGTGGCATTTGCCTTCTCTTTTTTAATTTCCAATTGTGGGGAGTCTTTAACGTTCACAGGGGCCTCGGTTTATTGTCCGATTCAAACGACTAGACGCTTTTTCCATGTCAGTTCTTCATTTTATTACAGAAATATGTCTTGGATACTGTGGTGCCAATGGAACCCCCGGATTTAACTCTGTTACTGGCTGTACATGTAGGTGTAACGCTGGATATACTGGACCAAAATGCGAGAGTAAGTTTCGGTTTTACACCCCTCACTATTACAATGAAGTCTTCAACACTTTCTCCCAATGATATTAATGTGTATGATTGTAAGAGTTCTGTACAATAAGAGATGTTTCGTTGCCTGTCAAATTCTTATCGATTTTATTTCGATGTTTGAAAGTTTGATGACTCATTAATCAAATTGTCTCTGTTGCAAATGAATACGAATAATCCAGTTATTGAAAATTTGATCCCGAGAACAAATATTTCTCATGGGGATCAGATCTCGGTCGTTTTAGAAGGTTGGGTCCCCGTGATATTTCAGTCGACCCACCTGCAAATGGTTGCAAATACTCCGAGAGATCATTTCCAAGATTCAGCTTGGAATCAGAATAAGAAAATATTTAAATCATTGTAAAATATATATGATTCTTTGTAATTTTTTTTACGTAATAATCCGCTCATTTCATTTCCTTGGCTCTCCTTTTTTGAAGTTACGTAGAGATAATCATATTACAAATCCTGTTTTTAGCTAACCAGTGTCTAGATTTTTGCGGTATTTATGGAAGACCGTCTTTACCTTTTAACGCTGGATGTGGTTGTATTTGTCAGACAGACTATACTGGCCCTAGGTGCGATGAACAAGGTAAGATCCGAAATCCATTTGATTAAAATGCATATATTAATTTTTCGTTACGCGTTATTACTCAGGTAGATTTGAAAGTGTCTCAACTAATAAGGGACTGGTTGAAATAAGTCCACGGGCCCCAACCACTAACGATGCCCCACCTCAGAAAAATACAAAGGTAAAAGAAATTGCACCAAATTATACAATAAAGTTAAACTAGCAACCAGTAATATATTACTGAGTGAATCAACTACAGACTGAAATCTTCAAGTCTTCCATAAACAGGCATTAAATTTACTTACTACAGAAGAGTCTCAGAATGCAAGACAAGCAAATGAAGAAAAATTCCCGGGGTAGTGGTCCCAGCCCACTCAAGTCCGCGGGCCCCTATTTATCTTTAGTGCACTGTGACTCAATTTGTCATCTATAATCTCACTAAATTGTTCTTCGTCTCAGGTTCTGGGTTATATAGTACGTGGTTTGAGAAGCGATTAGAAACAGATCTGAATCATGTTGTTACTCAGGAGTTTCACGCTTTGTGATCTTCAGACAACTGACCTTTCAATCTACAATTGATGTATAGAATACTATTTTAACAGTGAAAATATTGTATTATTGTATAATGTATTTATTTTACTATACACCAAGCTTATTCTTATATTATTTTGTAGCATGTACACAAGCTAGAATGGGGTGTGTTAACGGTAGAGCTCAGATCAGTGGTAGAGCGTGCACATGTGTTTGTAACGCTGGTTTCTCTGGACCACGGTGTGATCGGGGTAAGTATTGAGCCTCTCTTGGTGGTTTGAATTGATAAGGGCCAAAATGATGGAACGATGACATTAAAATGTACTGGTATATGAAAGCGTCATCACTGTAATACAGGACTAATCTTTCTATTATCTAGCTCTGTGTGATAACTATTGTTCCAATGGTGGTAGTCCGTTCCCAACAACCAGTGGTTGCAGTTGTTCCTGTCCGGCTGGATTCACTGGTGATAGATGCCAAGGTAGGTCCATCCACATCATGACAATTTCGACAATTCACGACAGTTTCAGTGTCAATTTGGAAATGAATTGAAGATTTCGTGTATTCTGGTATAGAGCCTTAACTTCCGGCTATTTATCACTGGTCTGTCACGTGGTTAGTCCCTATCTTTAGCGCCTTAAAGGGATGGTATTTTTATGTGTATTGGTGAAACCGATAGCATCAATTTGTTCAATTCCAATTTTCTGTCGGTCGTCTGTGATTCCTGCAATTCCACTAATACTAATTGTTTGATAACGTCATTATTCGCGAAGGCCTTATGTGATAAAAGCATATTTAGCGATTGCAGGAACTACAGATGTTTGATTGGAAATTGAAATTGAATTGAATTGTCACATGAAATATTGAGAACACCTCTTTACAATCCCTTTACTGGATAATTCTGTCACTTGCTTATGCATTTAATTACACTGTGACTAACAGTTTGAATATATATTTATACGAGATTGATGTCTTTATTTCAGATGCGTTATGCAGTACATATTGTGTGAATGGATCACCGACATCGTCTAATTACCCGAACTGTGAATGTAGATGTAATGCCAATTATATTGGTCCTAAATGTGATACTTTAGGTAATAATTTTGTCATTTTAGAGTAACTTTTACTTATTGAATTCCATTGGATGGGCGGCACCAGCCTCCATAGACTGGGGCTACAGATAGGAGAACACTGTCTAATAGGGTGGAATTCACAATGCGACAGCTCTGTGGCCTAAGCCTTTGGAGCGTTTGAAATGGTTCGTCCCAAGAAACATTTTGAAAAAATAATGGATTTGTTGTATTCCGGCACATTATAGAGTATTTTATGAATGTTTGTGTTTTTTTTTCTTCAGACCCCTGTCTATCTCTTACATGTAATAATGGTGGAACTAAGGTACCACAACGAGGATCCTGCGTCTGTCAATGTAGACCAGGTTACACTGGGCCTGATTGTAGAAGTAAGTAGCATTCCTTTTTAGGTCCTGGAGCTAAACCGTTTTGTGCATGGATTTTGGTAGACTTTAAACGTTAACCACCTTTTTCATAGACATCATATCATATTCATATTTTATACACTTTTGGAGCAAAACTCCCTTCAGGCCAGCCCACATTCTGTCACATGACAACAGGGACAGACAACTCTACATAACTAGACGGGAAGTAACTCTTCGAAAGGGGTGACGTATCCAGACCACAATATGAAAGTAAGTAAACTGGATTGTAATTAATTTCAAAATATTTCATGTTTTTATTTGTAGCCTCGATATGTTCAAGAAGCAATTGTAATAACCGAGGAGATTCTATTTACGATCCATTAAGCGGAAGTTGTGTATGTTTCTGTAACCAAGGATACACTGGTACACAATGTGAATTGCAAAGTAAGCAAGCCTATTACTTATTTGTTTTGTGAATAAAGACCTTCTCGATGCATAAATACTAAAAGGCACAAGAAACGCCACAGGGTCTATCATAATATATGTCTTGATTTTCAAATTCTTATATATTATTACGTAAAGACATTCGGACTGGATTTTGTGAAACTGTGTAAAAAGAAAACAGCATATTAAGGATTTGAATGAAGATCTCTAAATTTTTTCATGTATGATAATCGTTTTATTTATCTACATCCTATGTTTTCAATATACCATTGAAGGTCTATTTTATTGTCTACTTCCAGCATCTTGCCGTGACGATTGTATGAATGGAGGTGTTGCTCGAATGGCCGCTCCAGGTGTATGTGTCTGTGATTGCCAGGCAGGTTATACAGGAACCATATGTGAAAGTAAGTTACTTTAAGTTAGTTTCGCTTGGGGGTAAGGTGGTTTTCGTCTATATGGAACACGCTGAATCAGTATGCTGTATACTGGTTTTTAAACTCTGAATCCCTTTTTGTACAGTCCACATATCTATTTTATGCTTCTTTGATGCAGGTAATTATTATTGCTAAACTACCCGAAAAACAACCCTTAAATGAAAATTCTGGCCACGTATGCTGGAAACGATCTTAGCGCTAGGATGTCCTAGAATCAATGTTAGAAGATAAGAGCCAAGGGCATCCTAGTGCTAAGATCGTTTCGAGAATACGTGGCCAGATCAACTTCAATTGCCTTCCATGATTTAAGATATTTTTGCTGTAAATCGTGTTCAGTCGAATTTAAACAGCCAGCCTCCTGATTTATCATAGTTTATGCTATACAATCTAAACACTATGTTGACCATATAAAGACTGAATTCATGTATTTTTATGCTTCAGCTTTGATTGAAACCCAGACCTGTACCGGAAGTGAAAACAAGTGTCAGAATGGACAGCCTGCTATTAAGAACGCCTGTACTGGACAATGCCAATGTGTCTGTAACCAATTCTACGCTGGAGCTTATTGTGAAATCAAAATTGACAGTAAGTCTTCTATTGATATAATGGAAATTCAATCATCAAAACAATGATCGTGGTGCATGAAGAAGCTGGGAAGGGATCACTGAACACGGACCGAGGGTCAGGGAGTAGATGGGTCAGGAATCTCGCAACTCCGATAAAAAAATGTCCCTTCGAGTTCATTTGAAAGTATCTTATATCTTAAAGGCGATGAATACAGCATCAGTGATTTGCCAGTCGTATATCCATCAATTGATCCGATTCTCCCCGATGTCGTCAGCTGTTGGCAAATCGATACAAATCAAGTGGCTGTCGCCAGGTCGACCTGAGAGTTAGTTAACAGTTTCTGTGTAAGAAGTGGGATGGTATCAAATTGCCCATTTAACCACTTTACACACAGTGTGATCACTTCCTCTACTTAAAAAGTCGCCCTTCATCATTAACCTTGTCATATTTTCAGCAAATGTCTGTGATGAATGTCACTGGGAACACGGTGTAGGTTATACATACGCTAAGAACAGATGTGATATGTATGTAACTTGTCAGAGATTGAACACCGGATACAACACAATCGTCAGATACTGCGCCCCGGGCACTTTCTGGGACAATACAGATTTGACCTGCAAGGCTATTGGTGATGTACAAACCTGCCCGGAAGATCCTTGTAGAAATCTGCCACCCAATGAAAACTATTCCCATGGTACCCAATGCCAAGAGTACTACACCTGTGGTGCTAATGGAGTAACAGAGAGCACCAACTGTTGCGAAGATGGTTGGGGATTCGATGAGAGATCTAGAAGATGTGTACCCAATCCATTCTGTAAAGGAACATGTCGAAAGAGTTTTGATAACAGAGCTGCTAGTTGTTATAGAGTCGGTAAGTTTGATGTAGCTCATTATTGTTTCTATATTTAAGACATTCCTTTGGGTTTCTATTTTTGTTTCTATCCACAACAAGGTACCTTAAAGAAAGTTTTAAATTCCGTAGTATTTTTTTAATCCTCCCCATGGCTATGTCATAATGTTAAAAGCTCAGAGCAATCATGACACTCCACTTCCGGTAGCCATACCAATATAAGATGCATAAAGAATCCCCACATCCGGTAGTCTATGCTTTTGATAAATCCATCTTCCGGTACCCCATTCCACGTACAAATCCAAATTCCGGTTGGGGAAATAGTGGTGTTTGTACGGTAGGGGCGTCAGAGGAATCAGAACCCCCACTTCCAATAGACCATGCTATATAGAGGCCCCACTTCCGGTAGTTGATAAACATTATTATTGTTTTTGTTATACTTTCAGGTTGTGAATTCATGGCTAATGCTACAGACAACCATTACTTCTTCAGAAAACAGGGAGACAGACTGAGCCAACAGAAATGTGGTCCAGGAACTATATTCAATGAAACTGTCTGTACCTGTGATTATGATAGGACACCACCACCTCGAGGATCAGGTGGGGCCATTATTTAAGATTCAGAATTTAGAAATTTAGAAAAGCGCATATTGTATATTTAGGATTTATGAAGCATTCATTCCTTGTATTTTTATACCTTGTGAAGAGTATTATTTTGAAGTGAAAATTCAGCCCTCTATATGCTGGAAATTCATCTCAGCTCATTTGAAATCCGTTGGCATTTGCAGGGGCCCCGAGACCCCCGGCTTGGCCTCAGAGAGATACCTCTAATTTTGTCCCCTCCCCTCGTGCATTTTCTACACCCGCTCCTGTTCCAAACAACTGTAATCTATTCTAGGTTATCACAGCTCTTTCGTTATATATGTTTAATTTCGTGGTTATATTTGTCTACAGGTTGTAACCCAGACCGATTCCTACATTTTGATAACGGTGTATTCCAGCCTGAATTTAAATATGACAATGTAACGTTATCTACCCCTTCTACTTCGTTATCCGGTAGGTGGCGTTTATTATAAAAGTGATAGTATGTGCAAGCCTCAATATAACAGATCAGCGGAAAGGACCACTTTTTTTTATCCCTTGCCTAGTGTTCAGTTATTTTACATTAAAGGTGGAGTCTACTCTCATAAGGAATTATGGGATATCGAAACCTGAAGTAAAGCAATACGACAGCCTCTTTATATTTCGCTATGCCAGAATTCCTTATTTTATCAAGATATTATTTAATCACATGACACGTTTTATTGGTTTATAATGCTACCCTTGGAACAGGCCTTTGGTAACTTAGATCACTATGGACACTACAAATATCAGAAAACGAAATAAAATACGAAATTGTAATCTAAATTTGATAAGATTGCATAAAAGGAGAAGTCTGTGCTGGATTTTAATTACAAACTTAGCACATACTATTATTTTAAATCTATTCACTATTTGGTAAACCAGGTGATTTAATCGTTTCATATTCAATGGGGAGATAGTGCAAGCTTTGATATAACAAAATGTCTTCGTCTAAGTGGTGTTTATTTTATATATTCTCTTTTTCAATATGTAAATTTGATTTTCATGTTTTTCTTTAATTTTTAGATCTTGTGGGAGTTGAGGGTGGGGCTGGAATTTTCGACGGAAATGACCGAGTTTTGATCCAACGATTTGCCAACTCCGGATTCGCCTTTAAATATTTCCTGATCCAAACCAGAATAAAGCCTGGAAATATCGGAAGTGAAGTAGCAGTCATCTCCAATGGTGATTGTGGTGTACCCGAATCTGTCGCTATCACCATGACGTACCAATCTATTCGATTTACCTGCCAACCGGAAGAGTCTGGATATACAAATATCACTTCTAACTATAATATAGGGGCGGTAAGTGTGACTTATTTTTTCTTTTTGGATTTTTGAAGTAAATAATATTTTGTTTTCAAGTTAATTATTATTCTGTACAATGATGTATGATTTTGTTCAATGATGTATTATTCTGTACAATGATGTATTCTTCTGTACAATGATGTATGATTCTGTACAATGATGTATGATTTTGTACAATGATGTATGATTTTGTACAATGATGTATGATTTTGTACAATGATGTATTATTCTGTACACTGCTGTATTATTCTGTACATTGATGTAAGATTCTGTACAATGATGTATGAGGTTTACATTGCTGTTTCACGTTTTGTTTTCAGGATGGATGGTTGAACCTTGAGTTACATTATTTCAAGAATGATCAAGGAGGTTATACATTCTTTGCTAAAGTTAACGGTCAAAAATCCCAAGAAATGTTCTTAAGTCGTAAGTTTTACTTTTTCAATCAGCATTTATTAGACAAAGTCAAAATTTCGGAACTGTGACTGTTGCACCTTCGCCCTGACTATTTATGTGTATCGGATACACATATAACAGCGATTTGCACCATTTCATCTTCATTCAGATGTCTCTAGTTCTTTCAATCCTGTTAAAATTCAGAGTGGTATGACGTCTCTATCACAAAAGCTGCTAATAACATCAACAGGTTGATAATGGGGCCGTAAAATGTTTAGTTTTACTGGAATAGCAAGATTCTCAGAAGAACTCACACTTAAGTGACATTTTATGTTTGGCCCTAAACGTGCCGATATTCCCATCTGTAGATCACGTCCGAGGAACGGAAAGGGGCCCAATTTGTCGGGATTCTGTACGAACAGCTTACTAGGGACAGATCATTGCTGGATTACTATGTTTTAATAGTAATACAATATATTATGTTTCTCTATAGGACCTATTGAAAAGAGACGATGCTCCCTACAAGTCGGCCATGGCTTCGGCTATGCTAACTTCCAAGGATATGTTGATTGGGTACGTATTACTCTTGATCCCTGCTTCACATCTTTAGTTTAGGTACTTTATTGGCTACCACTTTACAATTTAGTGTGTACTTGAAAGCCGTCTGGAACGAGAAATATATATATATTCACATGAATACAGCCAGCGAGAAACTTCGACAGAAAATCTGTTAAAGTCTTTATTTTCTTTTGCACAATGATGTATATATATAGGTTATTAAGTGTCAAGTACGTGCCACGCCCCTGAGGCAATACTATCAATGAAATACCCATAAGCGACAATGGATTCAGAACTTTTCTGTTTTTTGTCGCACAGACTCACTTTTCTTTTTGAGCCAATTAATATAAGTTCTAATATTCAAACCCTTGTACATGTATATATAATAATTATAATTTCAATAAATTTTCATTCAGCTCCAACTGAGGCTATAACAGCCAGTTATTTTTTAACAATTGTTTACTATTGTTTACATGGCTTACATTTGTTTACTTTTCAGGTGAAAGTTTACACCACGTGCAATCCAGGATTTTAAAGAACAGACCTATCATATTTATTTTTTTTAAAGTTAATTTAGTCCAGAATGTGCCATATATAATTTTCAATGAAATTTTTATGTAAATTATTCTATTTTTTCACTTTTTCATATTAATTTAATTAATATTTGAAACTACCAAAGTTTTTCATACAAGCTGTATATTTATTGTTGTTCTAAGTCTTAAATGCCCAAAGTTTTTGTTTATATATTTTTCTATTTTGCACCTAAAACTTGCCAAGCTTCGTGTCCACCTGTTAGACATTCCACTTTTTAATGGTAGATGAATACAAGGGCGCCCCAAACATATTTGTTACCATGGAAACTAGCATGATATGAATAAATTATGAAGATTCTTATTGTTATGTCTTGTAATATGGTTTCGAGCAAAGATATTTGTACACAGGGATTACAGGTTTTCTAGACTTTTTATATTTATCGAGGACACCTTTGACATCTATTTGGTGCAATCAAATTCTTGGTCCGATGCCTTCGGTTCCTGCAATTCCAGAATGAGTTAGTGGTATAAGTAATTACAGATATACTGCAACTACTCCTCTTCACTCTGTAGTTGCAGTATATCTGTAAGTACCCCAGCAGGCGAGCAACTACCCTTATTTCGCTCCGGAGTTGCAATATATCTGTAAGTACCCTAGCAGGCGAGCAACTACCCCCATTTCGCTCTATACCCCTATAAATCGCCAGGCGAACACAACTTTATTATTATCAATTCATTAAAAAGGTCTTTAATAAAATATATACTCCTAAAACATATTTTGGCCCAGGAGACATTCAAAAATCTCCATCTAAACTTCCGGGATTTCCTTGGGCTAAATATTCGGGCGCAAAACATCTACCAGAACCCAACTACACTGGCCCAGGAATCCGTTTAGATTTACGACTAAGGTCAAACGATATTCCCAAGCCAGGAGAAGAACCTATTAACAGAATATACCAAGCAGCGCTAAAACACGATATTCTATACAGAGATCATACAGACTTAGAATATAGACCAGAATCACAGGTAAGCAGGTCTTCGTTCAAGAACACCAAAAAAATTAAAGCAGAAGTCTTTCACGAACAGATAAACACCTGTGTTTACATTTGTACCTGTTGTGTCATTGGAAGCCTTCTCTATTTTAAATACGTTGACACTATTTTCTCCACATTGCCCATATTGTACTAATATTGACAGAACTCCCTTGCACGGTCGGCATAATTCGTGATAACAATTGAATTCGTCATAGGAATTTAGTTAATGGCAGAGCTAGCCTACAGTTAGTTAGGGTACAATAGGTGGCAAACGAATCTACATATGATTCTTTCGTGGAAATAACACACAAGAATGCTGTTAACAACTTAGAAATGCATTTAAATGTGATTTTGAGGCTTTCTTGAAATATCATTGCCTTTTAAATAATTTGACTTATTAATTCGAGTTTGTTGATCAAAATAGTTGTTATATCCATGTAAGAACCAGGCATAGTTTCATATGAAATAGGGGCAGACTGGCATAATGGAGAGGGTCAACTATTAGGGGGGAGAATCAAATTGCAGAAGTGGAAGCGCCATGAAAGCTGAATTCACACAAGCTTCCTTTAGAGGAGAATTTGGAATATTTGAATTTATTTGCTATATTCTGACACAATTTTGGGGTAAAATAGAAAATAATTCACTTGTTGAAAATCTATTTTAATTGGTTTTCACAATAACTAAACCAATTTAACAAAACGTTTTGTATTTATATAAAATCTGATTCACTTTAACATTATCAATTACCTACAAAAAAGTATATTTGTGAAAATCCTTAAACATGTTGCACACTTTATAAATAGATCAGACTACAAATGTTTTTTTACATGGTATCTTAAACTTGAATAATGAGTAAAACATTTCTTACAAACATCACATTGGTATGGTTTCTCTCCAGTATGAACTCTCATGTGGTTATTACGACTACCTGTTTGAGAAAAACACTTTTTACAAACATCACACTTATAAGGTTTCTCTCCAGTATGTTTTCTTAAGTGAACCTTCAATACAGTTGGTTCGGCAAAACCCTTTTTACAAACATCACATTGATGAGGTTTTTCTCCAGTATGTATTTTTAAGTGCCTAATAAGATGATTTGACATAGTAAAACATTTTTTACACACATCACATTGGTAAGGTTTCTCTCCAGTATGTGTTCTCATGTGAACAGTAAGATTACATGACCCAGAAAAGCACATTTTACAAACATCACATTGGTAAGGTTTCTCTCCAGTATGCCTTCTCAAGTGACTCTTCAAATCATCTGATCGAGCAAAGCACTTTTTACAAACATCACATTGGTAAGGTTTCTCTCCAGTATGTATTCTCATGTGAATATTTCGCTTACTTGCCACAGCAAAACACTTTTTACAAACATCACATTGGTAAGGTTTTTCTCCAGCATGCCTTCTCAAGTGACTCTTCAAATCATCTGATCGAGCAAAGCACTTTTTACAAACATCACATTTGAATGGTTTCTCTCCAGTATGTATTCTCATGTGAATATCTAGCTTACTGGCCGCCGCAAAACATTTTTTACATACATCACATTGGTAAGGTTTTTCTCCAGTATGTGTTTTCATGTGAGTGGTAAGATTACCTGACCTAGAAAAGCACATTTTACAAACATCACATGTGAATGGTTTCTCTCCAGTATGAATTCTCATGTGAAGCTTCAGATCACTTGACTGGGTAAAACACTTTTTACAAACATCACAAATGAATGGTTTCTCTCCAGTATGAATTCTTTTGTGAGCATTTCGATTTGAAGGTGATGTAAAATATTTTTCACAAACATCACATCTGAACGGTTTTTCTCCAGTATGTGTTCGCAAGTGAATTTTAAGATGTGATGGCGCTTTGAAACACTTTTTACAAAAATCACATCGGTGATTTTTTCTCAAATTGGATTCCATTGCAACTTTTCAATGAGATGATGAAATAATGGCTGAACAGGAAGTGTAATATTTTACGGATTAACTTTGGATTTATGGATAGGTTTATGAGAAAAGATATTTGTAAGACTAAATTACGGATTGAAAAATATTCACAAACAATTGACTGTCTATGTAAATCAAAATGAAATGCTGCAAAAGTCTTCTTCTGATTTTCAACGTTCAATTTAACATATGCAGCCCGTACACGTAGCTTTATTGTCCAAGCGAACGACTATATGCCCTTTTTTACTGTCTTATTATAGGTTGAATTTAGTGAAAAAATGAGATCTAAATAAGATGAATCTAAGTTTTTGAAATTTTCTGTCGTTAATTATTGCCCTTAGTCAAATTGTGAAAAACTGGACATGCCTTATTGAAAATCAACAATCTTTAAAAATCCATACCTATCACTATCTTTATAATTATAATTTTTCTATTTAATTATATAAATTATAAAATATTGTTCATGGTAGTTAACTCCAGTGACATAGCGAGTATATCATTGACGGGGGGACCATTCGAGCGCTCGACATACATTTATAGATTTTAGAAGGCACTAGATACTGTGGGGAGGTCAGACTGCCTTTCTCTGGAACATTTTCTATGTGTGATGCCGGAGAATAAATCAGACACATTTTGCAAGTCAAGTGAAAGTAGAAATAAGGTGTTTAATGGTCCGAGAGGGGGGGGGGTATCGTATTTTGTCCGACATGAAGAAGAGAATATCACGCAATAGGAAGGATTTATAGGGGAAGGGGGTAATAGTAATGATTTATAAGCGGAAGGAGGTAATAGTAAGGAATTATAGGGGAAGGGGGATTTATAGTAAGGATTTATAAGGGGAGGGAGGTAAAAGTAAGGATTTATAGGGGGAAGGGGGTAATAGTAAGGATTTATAGGAGGAAGGGGGGTAATAGTAAGGATTTATAGGAGGAAGGGGGGTAATAGTAAGGATTTATAGGAGGAAGGGGGGTAATAGTAAGGATTTATAGGAGGAAGGGGGGTAATAGTAAGGATTTATAGGGGGAGAGGGGGTAATATTAAGGATTTATAGGGGTAAGAGAGGTAATAGTAGGATTTATAGGGGGAGGGGAGGTAATAGTAAGGATTTATAGGAGGAAGGGGGGTAATAGTAAGGATTTATAGGCGGAAGGGGAGGTAATAGTAAGGATTTATAGGGGGAGGGGAGGTAATAGTAAGGATTTATAGGAGGAAGGGGGGTAATAGTAAGGATTTATAGGAGGAAGGGGGGTAATAGTAAGGATTTATAGGGGGAGAGGGGGTAATATTAAGGATTTATAGGGGGAGGGAGGTAATAGTAAGGATTTATAAGGGGAGGGAGGTAAAAGTAAGGATTTATAGGGTGAAAGGGGGTAATAGTAAGGATTTATAGGGTGAAGGGGGTAATAGTAAGGATTTATAGCGGAAATGGAGGTAATAGTAAGGATTTATAGGGTGAAGGAGGTAATAGTAAGAATTTATAGGAGGATTTATAAGTGAAAAATTGACGAAGCTAGGAAAAGGGCGAGAAAGCGAGAATAAAAAAGACAAGAGTCAAGAAAGCGCGGATAATTTCCCTTGCTTTCTCGTGGGCGGGAAATCGAGAGTAGATATGGCCGTAACCGGCTTCCATAGAGCACAGCTGTTATTATTATGGTTGTGAATGATGCGCTACT